TAAGAAGGAGGAGAGCCCGGCGTTAGCTGGGCGATCCGACTGGTATGTCAAAAATCGATAACAGTAACATACTCACCTCCACCATTTTCCAATTGATCATTTTGACAACCCTATCGGTGAGATGTCCTTCTTCCTGTTTCAGTGTTGCCAAAGCACATTCTCGTAGCTGTCGATGAACATTGACATCAAAATCCGAGTACTGAAAAACTGGTATTCGAAGGGAAACAAGTTTTTTCCGATCTCCTGGAGAATTCCGTGATGAGAATAGCACCTTTGAGGATTTTGTTTTGCTATTTCGTCGATAATCTATGTAAAGAGTTGAGAAAATAGGCATTGTAAGTACGATGTTAATCTTTCCCAACTCCTTGAAATTTCCTCACAAAAATGAATCCAGATAGAGTGAATTGCAAGGTCGAGACTCAAAATTTTTGAAAATCGCCAAATCATTATTGTCCGATCTCTTTTTAAAATTTTATTAAATCGGTGCTATATCCAAAGTAAGATCAAGGAGCTCTTTGTCCAATGGTTCACAGTTTTAGAAAAGTTTTGGACGACTTGCATCCGAGAAAACTTGACGTCTGTAGACACATCAATGGCAATCCGTAGAAAAGCTTTCCAAAACATACTACGACGGAGAAACTCCAGTCATTTGAGGAAGGCGCACCCATGCAAACTCTGTATATGAGGAGAAATGATTGAACAGACTTCTTTCATTTAGCCTAGCAGATGATAAGGAGAAACTTGATATGCGATATACTTCAAAACAAGCCATATATCGCCTATCAGATTTACGGGGTCTATGTCGAATCATTGGGCGGAGGTGGTCTAGTGGCAAAAGGCGTTCTATCACACCCTCATGTCACGGATTCTGATCCCAGATCGATATCCGCTTAGGCCAACCAACCCTTCCGTATCTTCGAGATTGTACTGGTACCAAATTGGTCTAGGAGGATAAAACATACACCACATACATATCCATTACGCCACTTCAATTCTGTCGAAGTCGAAGTCGAATGCGGGCGCTCTCTCAGATGGGATCCGTCGAGGCCTAAATACTTCAACCTTTATCTATTATATCGAATCATGTAAAGTTAAGCTCGCGCTTAAGATGGCGATTACTTGGGTGTAGCCTTCAATGGTACATCTCATTCTGATCTTCACTATTAAACTTTTCTTTTCCTAGTGGCTTTCAATGAACATAAAAATTAAATTGGCTTACACTGGGTATGGGAAGGGAGAAGGAGCAAGAAATCTGGAAGGAATCGTGTCAGTAGGGGGCCAATAAGACTGTCCATTTTCCTTGATCATGGCTACCCAGAATTTTAAAAAGCAGTTAATCCTTCTGCAGTGATTTTTGAAAGTGAAATGAAAAAGAACCTGAAAGTTGTGGTTGATCACTGTAAATGAATGCTGATCTATTTACAAACCATGATCAGTCTCTGAACCTTGCCATTTCCGCAAAGTTTTTAATGCAAACGGGTGATTTCCGTTTAACCAGCTGTCACGTTGTTTGAGCGTCACAACGGAGGGCTAATCAAGCGCAATTCTTCTGTGCCGTATGCCGACCGTCGCTTTTTTGTTCAAAGCTCTACTGCTTCTCAACGGTTAATGCTGAAGTGATTTCAATTCCCCACAGCTGTACAGATTTTCTAACTTCTTCGAAAATGGAATTCCCCTTGTCTCTCCGGTATCACTATTACGGAATGTGTAACTTGTTTTGCTTTTTCTTGTATTCTCTAGTATTGGAAGCAGTAAGGTAGACAGATCAGCCCAATCGAGTCAGATTTTGAGAAGGGTTTTTACAAGCTTGGCGATGGTAAGATTCCCTGTGCCAAATTCAGCTCTTCCAACTGCCATCCCAAAAATCCCGCTCGGCTTTCATTTAAAAGCGGCAGGGGCACGAGATAGAGGATACCCTTTCTGATTTCTAGTACCGGAGAGTTTAATTTTGAATAATCACACAATTAGCTATCATCTATATTATTCTACCTTACTGGCTTCTTTATGCATATGTCTGACCGCTTGCGAAATGAATAACCTTTTTGGAAATCGTTAGTAGTACGTGGGCTTTTCTATGAATTTCGGCTCTTGCACTTCTGTGACTACCAGTTTTTCTGGGCTTTAAATAGTTATCGTCTAAGAAGACAGTGGAATTTGTGCCATTCTAAGAAGACAGTGGAATTTGTGCCATTGAAGGTGTATCGTTCTGCACTGTTATCAGCTCTCTGCTTACATCTGGTGACGTGGCCCACCTCGTAAACCTTCGCCAATATTGATCAACTTAGAAGGTCCACTTGGCATGGTTGTCTGCACTGTTACTGTATTTGCTTGTCTCACCTGTGGTAAGTCGATTTTATTTCTCATGAGGGTCAGAAAATTACCATAATGGTCTGTGATGTAGCCACGTTTCATTTAGTGTTTGCAGCAAGTTTGCCCTTCACCCTCTAGAATAGACCAAGCAGTTACAAGCGATACTGACACTAATACAATCCCTACTTGCAAGGCCTGGCGCTTTGCTAACAATCGATGGCTTTTATTTCCTGTTCACAGATGCTTTTGTAATATTCCTTTCCATTTTTTTGTTTTAATTCTAATTTTCACATCTTTTTTGTAATGAACTATTGATATAAGCAAGGAAAGCCAGCACAATATTTGAAGGTGAAAACATGAAAAATGAAATGCTCTTCCCATCAGTTGCTGGCAAAATGCCACAACTTATCTGGAGGTGGGACTCAGCCCCTAAGGTAAACTCACGTGAGCATCACTTTTCATTCTGCGACCACTTTGGCGCTTCCTGACCTTTTTATCCCCCATCATTGCTATTGTTTTAAAGGCAAATGTAAGGGTAAAGTCTTTGGTCCTTCATCAACTCATCTGAGGAATGCGCCTTGCATTCGACTTCTGTTCTTATTGTGATCTATACAATGACTTTGTGTAGCCAGTGATGTACGAGTCACCGCTTCTTTCCTCCCAGACGAAACTGGAAGACTTGATTGACCTGGGCGGATATCGATCCGCGCTTTGAACTCGTGACAATACGTGGGCCATAGTGCGTCATTTGCCACCACACCACTATCGCTTCGTATGATTCATAGCAACCACAACAAATTACAAAAGCAGACATATGTAAGACAGAGAAAGAAAGAGTTTTCAATATGAGCATGTTTGTGGTACAAAAAAAATGAAGGGCAAACGATTTCACATTACTTTTAGCTTTTCTCGTCAACGGAGATCGGCAATTTGCCGGGAACGAGGAAGTGCACGATGAAAGGTGAGAGTTGCAGATCGTTATTTTGCCTTTTTCTGTTTTATTAATTTTCACATCTTGTTACAGCCATATTAAGCAACATTTGGAGGATAAGATTGACGTGAGCAAGATGACAGAAGATCAGCAGCGGTACGTTTGGTGCAGTCCGTGTCGACCTTCTTAAATGCACTGTTCATGATAAAAATTGATCCAGGGTCCTGCCTATTATGGAACTTTAACCCCAAGAAAAGTACAAGGGAAGTTGTTGGGTCTAAAACGATTAGGAGAGGGCGTAATAAGAGCCCAAAATCGACTTAGCCGACGTTGACCCTATGGGCAGACGAGTTCCCACGGTATTTTAGAGGCTATGTACTTTGCACCTTTCGCACAGGGACGCACAAATTGCACACATGCGGTTTACTGGCCAATCATACGCGCACAAATTTGGACAGCTCGTCCAAATATCCCTTCCAAGCAACTTTTGTCGTCACATTCTCGTCCAGCCCCTAATTTTACTCCTTTTTCAAAGCCTCATATTTTCCTAAATACGCCGACTTTCTTGCTTTTTTTCGCCTTTTTACACTACTCGTACTAACAGTTCTCTTATTCCTCTGAAACTATAATAGATACTCTAAATCATCGTGAACTTTGCCCAAGACAATATTGTTCTGAAGGTGAGTGTAGGGAGTGGGGTTAACTCCTAGACAGCATTTTTTACCAAGTCAAATGGAAAAGATGAACTCAGAAGCATGTGAATGTACGGTCTTGTGATGATGTGTAGGACTCGTGCTCTGCAGATAACACAGTCGTCAACGGAAATTGACCCCATTCACAAATTCATTCCAAAATTCTGATGAGAACGCATGGTTTAAGGTTTCACTATTTCTCGATGAGTGACCTCAACAAAGACAATTATATCGATGGTAACGAGGTTCTGAAAGCCCTCACTCATGATCATGAGGGTAACACAGGTTTGTTCGTTTGTATTTGATGGGGTGTTTGAGAATCCAATAGGGCTGAGAACTTTCACTTGTCCATTGGCAGTATCTAATGCACAAACTATCAACCAGTCGCGGTGGGCTCCTAAATAGCTACAGTAAATTGCAAGGACTGCGTTTATTAGCTCAAAACCTCGATTTCCTGACAGTAGGGCCCAGTGAAAATGCGGTGGGGCCACTGCTCTCCAACTCTGAGAACTAAAGCGCAGAGAAAGAGGGGAAGCCGACCTTAATTGTGCTCAGAGACGGATCTTATATGACGGAATATAGTTTTCACCTGAATCATGGGAAGAGAGCAGCACTGGGGTGGGTGGGATGATTAATCGCGCAACAAGCTGGGGTATCGGGTATTTCGCTTTCTATTCTTTAAACTCTGACAGTTGAGAGAAAATAGTTGTGACACTAACTTTTAAAAGAACTTTAGAGTTAAGTATGGCTATATATTCTCATTCATTCTTCAGTAAAAAACCTCTTGTTCAGGTCCTGGTATCCCAGTACAGGACGAAGATGCTATAATCACAATGATCGATACTGTGATGAAACAAATGGATGTAAATGGCGATGGCTACGTAGATTTTGCCGAGTACATGAAGGATCAAACGAAAAAATCCCCACGATCCTCGTAGCCTCGATAGTTTGGAATCTTCACGATAACATATGTCTAGTCAAGAGTAGTGATCACATTACCTGTATATAAAATTATATGGTGGACTTTGGAGATGTCGTTAAAGCTTTTATCCTTCGACTGATTCATTTGAAAGTGACAATGTGATTAGACTGCTACAGTCATACGACCGAGGCAATGGAGATGACAGCAAAGGGTGGCAAACAGATGTGAAGCGGTAGTCCTATCCACAGAGAATCCTAGCTAGTTGTCTCCTCGTGCGCCATTCACGTTTCGTTCTCCTACTTACCAATTAATGTCTCAACACCGAGGGTGGCGATACTTTTTCCTGAATCCCCACGCAAGCGAAAGTGGTTCCGTGGTGGATACCGTATACTTCCACTGAGACTTTGAATCTTCCCCTTTGTAACGCGCGACTGTGCGCGATCGGATGCAGAGCGACGCGGTTTTCGCGAAGAAGATACCACACCCAAACTCCTAGCATGCTATTTGGAAGGGCCCAGAAGCCAGTGGCTTATAACCTGTTCTAGTGCAGATCTATGAAGTTACAGGGTTTTTACAAAAGAATACGATTTCTCCTTGTCCTGCTATTCCTTTTTTGTTTCCTTCAGAGTGGCGACACTCATCAGCTTCCAGGTCGAGCAGGATCACTAAGTGGTGCAGTGGCAAGTAGAGCGCTATTACACGTATGGCCCGGTGATCGAAATCCGTATAGATATCCGACTAGGCTGACTGGCGTTTCATCGCTCCTGGCTCGGTTAATTGGTACCAGACTCTTGTCGAGGAGGATAAGAGAAGTGACTTGTACATACATCGATGGGTGGCCACCGCGTCTTCAGACAAACCATAAATGCATTTAAAATGCCTTTACTGTTCTGAATAGAAATAAAATGCGGGTGGCATTTTATTTCCATTCAAAACAATAGAGAAGTTTTGAATGCATTTATGGTTTATCCGAGGACTGCATCTATGGTAAGACGTCGCATTCCAGAACGGCACCGTTTGACATTAACGACCTTGCACACCTATTTACTACCCTTCCGGGTGGAATTTAGAGTAATAGAAATGGAGAAGAGCTTGTTCTCCTTGTGAGAAAGTGCAAGTAATTTGTACAGTATGACTTCACTGGATACTGTGATGTGTCCATAGTTGTAGCACAAACTGACACGATAGATAAGCTAAACTTGTGAATATCTGGTGGTGATTTACAAGTATAGTTCAGCTTTTATATCAAACCCAACGGTACTTCTCACGTATCGTATCAAGTCAGTGTTCGATGTGATGTTGATGCGATTGACGGCACTTTTTGGCTTTATCAGCGGTAGGTTTTCTACTCACGTTCTTGAGTGTTAAAGGCACTGTTCACGAAAAAATGGTTTCGGAGATCTGCACATGGTGTGAATTCGACGCCCCCTCTGATACCATTTGTGCAGGAATGAGGTCGGAAAACGGTCTGGATAGGGCACAATAAGGGCAGGAAGGGGGACGGTCAAGTCGTGCGTCCGAGGGTGCGCGAGGCAAATTGCGCGGCGAAACCCATAC